TTAAAATTTGTAAAGAATTGCTTAAGTTTAATTGTAAAACAAAAAAAACCCCTTTTTTTTTTTTTGGTCTTTTTGAGACAGGGTCTCCCTGTAACCCCAGCTGTCCTGGAACTCACTATATAGACCAAGACCAGGCTGGCCTTGAACTCACAGAGATCCACCTACCTCTGCCTCCCAAGTGCTGGGATTAAAGGCGTGCACCACAATGCTTGTAAACACCATTTTATATAAGGGCATCACAGATCTTGATATCTGAGGGGATCCTGGAACTAGGATGAAGTGGGTCTAGATGTTGATACCTAGAGATTTCCATGTGAAATCTGTCCCTGTTTCTTTAAAGAAAGGCTTCCTCTCTGAAGAAGATAGATCAGTGCTGACTGACAGACTAGTCTCGGGATCATTGCCTCCTTAGTTCCGAGGGCTCCAGTCATAGTCATTATTCTTTTTCTTGTGGACTCTTCTAGGAGGCCAAAGGACCCCTGCAGGATGGCCCCACTGTGGACACAAATGGACTGGCCAGTGCTGCCGCCAGCTCAGCAGAGAGAACTCCAGGTAGCCTCACTTCCTTGTTTGGCTGGGTGGTGCGTCACTCTCTTGGCCTCTGTGACAAGGCCAAAGGGATGAGCCAGCACCTCCAAAGCAACATTTCTTCAATCGGGCATCAAGTGGTCCAAAACCCCTTGGACTCCTTTTTCATGTGTCAGCTGCTTGCGTTCGGAGTCCCCTTCCTCTATGGTCTGTCGGAGGTGCTGGTACAGATTGGAGGAGAGTTTCACTGGCAGGCCGTGAGCCAGTAACGGTGCTGTCTGGTAAGTGGGGTTACCTCACATCCCTCAGACACACCAAGGTGCTTGGTCCAGACCCTATAGGTAAACAGAAACCCGAAAGAGGCTGCTATATCACTGACCCAGGGAAAAGCCCAGTCACAGGCCTCTGTGTGTAACTGTGGCCCACATTCTGATTTTGTGTTCACTGCAACTTGAAATTCTTTTGCATCCCATTTCCCAGCTATTGTCCAGATAAGCTGAGAGTGCTCTCCATGTGACTGTAACCCTTAATGGGTACATCGTATCCTAACCACTTTAGAGCATTTGAGTTTCCAGTGTGGGTTAAGACCTACTTGTCCCACTGTCATGACCACTTCCTGTGTCAGAAACTTAGTGGTATCATCCTACCTCGAAAAACATGCCTGCTCTGCTCATCGCAGGGCGGAGAGGGATCCGGGGAATGAGGCCTGTAGAGAGTTGTTTTTTTCCTTAAAAAATTGCCCTCTCTCTACCTTCATAAAACCAACCTAAGATGTGTCCACAGTTCTGTATACTGCTGAGAGGTCTTGAGACCCCTCTAAGGGCCCCAGAAATCTCTCATGGATCACTGTGCATCTATGAAGCTACAGGGTTCTGTTTCTGCCACATATTTCCTCCTATTCACAGCAAACACATCTGAAAAAGCCAGGTACAAACTCAAATCAAAACTAAGGATTTAGCCTTTCTGTGATGGAGAAGGGAAGAATATTCTCCTAGCTTTCAAATGCTTTTTTTCATGATGTAAGGAGCTCATATAGATAGCCCTTGTACTTGTGCCAAAGGAGGGAGAATGTGCCTGGGGCTGGGCACGAGCCCTGGGGCGTGGGGAGCGGGGAGGACTTTAGTCTTGAAGGCACAGAGGCCGCAGCCAGGCCAGGTGAACTTGGCTGCTGCTTCTGTGTCCCCTTCTTAAGCTCTGAGGAAGCCTTTTTAGGTGCCCTGCTGATGGGACACGCAGCTTATAAACCATGCTTAATGAGTGACTTTAAGCCCTATGAAATCTCCCAGCCCTTGGTAAGCTTTCGTAGGAGGTACAACACTCCACAGTTGACACTTTCAGAGTACGGGCTGTGCTGGCAGAGAAAAGTACTCTGGCCCCAGACACAACTTTGGCCTTATGCTGTAATGTGCATGTGATCAGGTGACAGCCCCACGTAGTGGGTTTACCAAAGAAGTTACACTGGCCTTATTGGTAAAGGTGCAGAACATTCTTTTAAAAAGAAACATCAGTGATTCTGCTTACTCTCTTGGCCTGTTCAGTTTGCCTCTCTGCCTGTCTAATTGAAAGTATAATAGATTTCAGAGTTTCAGGCATTCTAAAGAATTGAGGATTCCATGGATAAGGAGAAGAATATTCTACAAGAGAGAACATGAGACTTGCCAGTGTGGGTAAAGAATCAAAACAACCATGAAATGACTTGAGCTAGAACAGAAATTGCAGAACACAAGAAAATCAAGACTTGGTATCCCAGAGTAATCCAAGCTTGAATCTCCAAGTTGAGGTAGGCAGCCACTGTCCCCTAGCCTAAAGCACCCTCTAGGCAGTGAGGGAGCTGGGCGGGACAGAGATCTCAGGCCTGGAGTTCACATTTGCCCACCTCTGTCAAATCAACATTTTTAGGGGTCACAGCTCTGTGTCCTGCACATGCTCAAAGCCCTTGCACTTTCCCATGAGCTAACTTTTGGTCCTAGCTGCTGAAAAAAAAAAGGAGCAGAATTATGAGTGACGTTATGTAGATGCCATAAAATAGTTTTCTTTTTCTTCTTTGATAGAAATGCCTTCTTTAAATCCCAAACCAGAGCTTTGATAGCTTAACTAGAACTTCTCCCAGAAAAGTTCCATAAAAGGCTCAGTGCTTCAGGCTTGCAGAATGTGTGTCACAGGAAGGGTTATTAACCTGATCCCAGTTCTGTCATGTGTGACTGAGTGCATTCCCTGGAACCCATTGTGGAGGAGCCAGAAGAGCGTGGCTGTAGCCAGTGGGCCCTGTGCTCCCTGGTTCTGTAACTCTTCACTCTTCCTCCCTGTTCTTTCCTCTTAAACCAGAATAACTGCTATTGCCCAAACAAACAAAATAACAGCCTGACCCACTAGTTAAAATAACCCCATGTAGGCCTGGATTAATGCATTGTCTTTCTCTGGTAACCTTGTCTGTAGCTGCTGCTTGATCTACTGTTTGGGACATCGTTTACGGTATTTCTGTTTGTAATGTGCTCTTAATATAGAAATCCTCCTTTCTGTTCTCAAACCTGTAAATGCTTTGTTTCTAAGCCTCCTCTTCTCACTGCTACAGATTGGTGGGCCTGGCACAGATTTCCTTACCCTGGCCTCATGGTACCTATCTAGGGTTTAGGAAAAAGTCTGGAAAACAAGCAAAGAAAAACCCCAAATGAAATTGTTGTTCCCTTAAATTCAATGAAGCTCTTGGTTGCAAATGGTTTGTATTCTTTTTTTGTCTAGAGGAATCCTGTTGTAGACAACCAAAAGTGTGGTACAGGGGATGTGGGTGTCCATCAGAAGGGAACAAAAGAGCTCTTCTCCCAGGGTTCAGCATCCAGAACATTTGCAGCACAGACAGCAGAGAGCAGGCAGGAGGCGCATGCTCCGCCATTATCATGTTGTCCTGGAGATACTGTAGTTACAAGTGGCACTTGCCTGCTCCTTGTCCCCAGACACTCCTTACATGGTATCCATTGGCTTCCACAGTTTGGATCCCGATGGCTGTTAGGGAACACAGGCATTGCCCACCCTAACCAGAATAGCCACACGGTACAAAGAACGGCATTCTTCCCCGGGCCCCTGCTTGACGGGGAGGTCAGGGATCCACTCACTGCTTCCTAGGGCCTCTTCCTTTATAGGCCCTACTACAAAACCGAACAAAGGGAGTGCTGCCTTACAGCTGCTATGCAGCCTGCCTCCCAAACCATACCACTAGAGCCATAGCTGAGTTGATGGTAGTGTGAACATTTGTATATGCACACTTTTCATACATGTATGTGTGTACAGATTTAAGCTCACATGTATGGATAGGTACTCTTTATATACTGTGCCCTAAACGATAACAGTAAGACTGTTTTTAAAGCTTCTTGTTGGTCTGGAGGCCACAGGAGCTTTCTCTGGAAGCTGTCCCTGTCCTAGGCAGGAACCCGGGGGAGCCCAACAGCTGAGACACAGCCTTTTGTGCAGGCATAGACATAGGGCTGGATCTCTGGGAAGATAGGAAGTACATTTTCCCAAGCTCAGGTCATTGATTTTCCTACTCAGAAAAGTCTTGCTTGTGGGGGACCACAGAGACGCAGACACCCACCCTCCCTCCAGTCAACTTACAGGCTGTGTATTGACTCCACTGGGTTAACTATCTTAGCTCTCCACTGTCTTTCGGTGTTTACTGTGCCTGACTACTTCCTGCAGAACAGTGGGACATTCTTAGGCCCCCCCAAAAGGGGCCTCACCATGCTAGTAAAGACTGGTCAGTGAAGTAAAGGGGTTCACCTTTAACCACCCAGCCATTCCCTCTGGGTGAGGCAGGAGAGGGGCAGCAAACGATGCCAAAGCTATGGTACAAAGAAGCCAGAATGAGGGCGGATTAGCTGTGCCAGGGAACACAATGCCTGTCCACTCTGACCTTCCCGAAAGCTTTTGTTTTTGCCCTTGTTTTAATCTGTGCTATTGTGAGTTGTTTGGTGTGTTGCTTTGTGAGTTTTTTATTTAATTGTGTAACTTTGTTTTTGCTGTTACTGTGAAACCAAGGTGTTGTGCTTTAAGTTTCTTTTCCTTTTTTTTTTTAATTTTAACAAATGTTACTTTCTTATTTAAGAGAATAAATTCCAAACAATCTTCAGGTTTCTGAGTTTTTCTTTTCTTTCCCTTTTTCTTGATTGGAGGGTGGCAGAGGGCAAGCTCAGGCAGTCTGGGGCGTGGGCTCAGAAGCCACTGTTCCTCAGGGCCCTCACTTCTGCTGTGGATCAGGATAGCACAGGTGGCCGTGGGGACTAGGTCATCATACCTCATATATGTAGAGTCCTGTTAGTATAAGGACCTTGTGCAGCCCGTGTCATGGTGTAGGGGGTTTTGCTTTGCAGCAGCTGTAAATAAAAATCAATGAAAAAGATATCACCTATGTACATGGACCTCAGGCTAGGAAGATGGAGGGATAGCTTTTCCACACAGAGCCAACTCTGCCAAGGGGACATAGAGCCAGGTGCCTTCCTCCCACGTTTCTGACTGTAACAGGTTCCTCAGGAGCACTGGGGCCAGTTAGGGTCTCCCTCTCTCTTGGTGCTCCTGATGGGGTACCCTCAAGCACAGTGATGGCTCCTGATCACACTGGGGATTCATACTCTTTGCTGTCTTTGCAGGGACCTGCCTCCTGAGTTACCTGGTGTACTTTCATTGGGCCGCCCTCAAGCCTGGAGAGCTTAGCTCATCCTGTCCCCACACATGCTGCTGCTAACCTAGCCACAGTAGCACTTCTGTCATAACAGCATGCCCGCCATGGGTACACAGGCTAACTAGGGCCAAAAGCGGGCACTGTGGTGGGTGAAGTATTCTATATCGAGTTTGCCCTGTTGGAACCTGGGAAGTGTGGGTATTTCTTGCTGGCGTCTCTCCAAACAGCAGCAGCACTCTGAGAAATTGAGGAATTTCTCCATGGAATAGAACAGCAAAGACATGGGCCCTCCCTGGCACTCTAGATAAAGATAACATGCTCCTCTTTCTCTGAAATAGGATGCCAGGGCCAGGGA